GACCCTCAACCAGAGTTCCTCCAAACGTTGTTTCAATTCAGGTCATCAAACAATGAAGGACTACATATTTACAGACACTTTAATTTGGTAATAAGATCACGACTTCCTCCTCTGTTAATGAGTTGATTTAGCAAATAAAACATTTCAATATGTATATACATCGCTTTACAAAAGGAGGCGCATCTCTACAATGTAAAGAACATAAAAGCTAATCTACAAGCTAAGTCTGGTGGGACGCTAACCCAACATATCGGTATCCAGAACCATATTCAATGGCTAAATTAGAAGGTAAGATGAAGAGCAGAAAAGCAACTTGGAAAACTACACACTAATAATTCCGCAGCTTGTTCTTTTTGTGTTTTTCTCTGAATTTCGCAAAAGTAAACAAGCTAATATGAGTTAGCAAAATGATAGCTCCACATCCAGTAAAGAAGGCTAACGCTTTCGATGTGAAGCATGACATCTAAACATGCTTTTCTAGTTGTAGAATGTTCTAAATCATATTTGTTATTGTCTATAAACATGTATCTGATGCAGAATGCAGTACTTAATTATCTTATTGCTCTATTTACATCAAACTTATTGACCAGCGTTTCCAAATTGGTTTTAATTTTACCTTACTGATCGGCTTTAGGGATTCATTTTAACCTTTACGTCTATAATTCTATTTATATATAATATAAATGTGTCAATTTCAAGCTATTACTGTGTCTGTAAATAAAGCTAAAGCAACCCTTAGACTGTTATTTTATCTAAACACTAGCCTGCTGGCTAATTTGTGATAACGTCTTTTACTTCTCCTCATATTCTAATTCCAAATGAGTTTGTCTTTTTTTTTTCTGTTAGATTTCTTACACTGTGGCCTAAATGTTTAGCAATTGCAGGCGACCCCCAGCTATCGTTTCAATTGGCACAATTATTTAGTCTGCAATTACTGTAGTCTTCTTTCAACCTTTGGGCTTACTTTTTTTTTGATAAACAAGCTATTAGCTACAGCTATAAGCTATAGCAAGATAATGATATTGACAATATCTGGGCTACCTTTCTGTTGTTATTGTTATTATTATGTGTTTCTCTATTTCACAAATCGGTTAAAAATGAAGTTAACGTTTTAGCTAACCATTAGCCTTATTTATTCGGTTAACTGTATTTGTTTTTTTGTTTTGCACCATTTTCATTTGTGTTCATGTATTTTCATGTATTTTGAAATTCAGTGACCTACATTTTGTAACCCAGAATGCAGTTCACCAAGACCACCTACAGCCAGGTCTTGGATTGTTCTATTTAGGGCTAGATAGGGTTTTTCTGGTCCCACATATAGCACCACAAGTTTGGCCCAGATGTGGTCAACAGTCTGGATCCTAGAATGCACAGAACATTCAGAGTGTATGAACCCTAAAGCTGCTGCTGTGGTGCAACTGGACTGAGCTCTGGTCATATAGATTTGTCTTGCAGCCTGGATTTCATGGTCTATGTGACATCACTGTCCGCATCAGTGAACACTGTACAGTACAAACCTTTCCACATTCCTGTACTTTTCTAACTCGTCCCTGTCTACCTTGCAACATCTCTCTCTCTCTGTGTCTCTCTGCCTCTCTCCTTTTTTGCTGCAGGCCTTTATTTCAGCTCCCTCCTGCCACAGCCACGCTACAACACCTACTGAGACAACAGCCTCGATCTGTGATCGATGAGCAGCGTCTGATGCAGAGGCTCAGACAAACAAAAGCCTGAAAATGCCAGGCATCTCTGAGGGACGTGACGTTTCCGTCTGTTTGTCATAACACCCAAGGTGAGATGGGAAGATGGGATGGATACAACGGCCCCAGGAGAGAGAGAGCCAGAGAACATCAGCATCCCAGCATCCCTGCATGTCCCTCCTCTGTACACCTCCCCTTTACCACCTCCTCCTCCTCCTCCTATCTCTATCCATCCTCTCATCACACTCCAAAGAGCGAGAAAGACATTTTTTACCTTCTGTCCAGGATTTGAGGCACTTCTTCATAGAGGAGTCCCGGCTGCAGCTCCTCATCAGACAGGGAGAGAGCAGGATCGGTCTTGCTGAAATCAGACGGCGAAGCCAGGGAGCTGGAGAAGATGAGAAGGATGAAGAGAAGGAGAAGGACGAAGAATGCCTGCGCAGCCATCGAGACAATGAGAGGAGAAGAAGGAGGAAAAAGGAGAGGAGAGAGAGAGGAGACTCTGGCGCTGTGCTGGAGCTCCTCGGCTTCATAATCTGCTCTGCCGACTCTTTCTGTCCTCCTCCTCCTCCTCCTCTTGCTCCTTTGTCTCCCTTCCTCCCTTCTCCATCCACTTCTGTGCTCTCTATATTCACAGCCGCAGGGCCGGCCTCACCTGAGCTCATTCTGTTTCACCACACATCTTCATCTCAGTGCACTAACCCCAGCGACAAACAACAACAACAACAACAACAGCAGCAGCAGCAGCAGCAGCAGTGTAAGACCTGCATGCTTACACAGACACAGGTACTCCTGTGTGTGTGTGTGTGTCTGTGAAGAACCATGAGGGGATGTCAAGGTCAGACGTTGCAGCAGGAGGACATCAACGTGACTTTTGGCACCTACCATAACAAATAACCAAGATACAAACCAAGCATGAGTGTCAGAGCTGCGTGACCCAGATTATGTTGGTTATGGCTCTGCTGCTGCTGCTGCTGCTGCCACAGTAGCAGAATAAAACCACTTCATCTCTGGGTAATTGTTGTGTGAGCCGACTGAGAGGCCCTGCAGCTGAGGAAATTGTCCATTGGAGCTGAAAACAAGGATGCAGAGCAGCCAAGAAGAGAGAGAAAAAAAGAGCAATACTGAACCAGCGATGGACTGACAAGGAACGAATCAACAAACGTTTGATTGATTGATGACTTGAACGATGCCATGTCTGATTCTTGAAATCACAAGTTCAGAAATGTTATGCCTACAAAGAGTGGATGAGAGATTATCCTTAAAAGTGTTGTGTTTTTAGTCTAATCCATTGGAGCTGAAAACAAGGATGCAGAGCAGCCAAGAAGAGAGAGAAAAAAAGAGCAATACAAAGAGTGGATGAGAGATTATCCCTAAAAGTGTTGTGTTTTTAGTCTATCGTTCTCTGGGCAAACTAAGGCCCGGGGGCTGGATGTGGCCCATTCAGCTTTTTAATACGGTCCGCCAAACTTTTTCCAAATTATATATTTATTTATGTTGTCATTACACTTTTGCCTTTTTCCCTGCAATAGACACGTTTCCCCAATAGATGGCGAAAAAAATGATAAAAAAAATCTTACCATTTTAGCCTGCCTGACCCACAAGTCAAAGTTTGTCCACGCCTGTTCTAAACAATATCGTACTTTATGCCAAAACTTGCAAGAAATGTTTTTAAAAATGTTGAACAATAGATCGATTACTGATATTAGCATCAGGTAGCATTACTCGTCCAATCACCAGGGTGTCCCTTTGCAGACAGTGAAGATTTGGACCATTTCATTGCTTTTACACTAGGGTGTAATATTCAGAACTGCCCTTAACTGTGCCTAAAAACAAACATCAGAATGAAAATGCTGCCCTCAACAGCCAAAAGGTGGCAGCACTGCTTCAAATATCAATATGTACAGTAGAAATTTGCAGAACTGCCTAGCTTAGCCAAACCTCAGAGAAGACCCAGAGCCTGAAACTCTTGAGAACATCTGAGAAAGAAGTCGGATCTCTTACACAGAACTTCATGGTTCTGTGAAACATGCCTCAGATGTTCTCTCTGCTCGCTCTGATATCATTTGATAAACGACAACACTGGCAGAATAATATAATAGAGGTTATATAAGCATGTGTAAAGACCAAGAATCACAATTGATTTTCACATGAATGTGTGATGGTCACTCTCTGGACGAGTGAAGAATTTCTGACCTTATTGTGTATGTGGCGTCCTCCCCCTGGACGAAGATTCCCTGCTCCCTGTTGGGGGGCACCAGAGGGAGAAAGGGAGAAGGGAGACTCAGAAACCTGGAGGGAAGATAAAAAAATGCAACAAAACTACATAATGTGCTATACTTGTCCGATTCTCATGTTTCCAATGGTACCTGAACACGCCTCGTCTGAGATACTGTATATAACTTCAGATATAGATATAAAACTAGGGATATATAGCGGATCGCACAAGTGGCAAAAACACAAGTACATGGAAAATAAGTCAAAAACAAATTAGCCAAAATTAAGTCGGAAGTTAGCCAGGACACATTTTTGGATGATAGCTAAGGGCTAAAGATTAGCCAAGGGATAGCTAAATCTATACTAAAATCTATATAACCATGCAGAACAGCTACAAACATAGGTCATTTTAGCCACTTCGGACTAAATGGCTAAAACATTGCTTAATTTTCTCCAGCATTACCGTGTCTAGCCTTCTTTCTGTGAGTCATGCAGCGTTTCATATTATAAAACACCAAACTGCGTTGACTGTCTATTTATAGGTATGATCTCACATGCAACTTTTTAATCCTGCTCTTGACGTCCACAGGGCGCCAAAAGCTGCCAAGGCTGGGGCAGATTTAACAGACTACAGCGCACTGTAGAGTCAGAGTCGGTGGCTCTTCAGCTCGTGGTGATGATTTATGACCGCTAATCTATAACTGCTAGGCATTAGCATCTGATGTGTGCTATGTTTAAGCTCCTACGGCATTAATCAAACACTAAAGACTGGCCTAGTTTAATCAATGGGCTACGAAGTGCTACAGAGCGTGGGTAGCCAACCCCCCGGTTCGGGGACCGTTGGTACCAGACCAGAGTGGCACACAGTGAAAGAATTTACTTCAGTTTTACTAATTTACTTCATTCCAAAAGAATCCAGTCATATCCCTTTACTTTTTTCATTCAAACATAATATGTCAATGTTTCAAAACAACAAGTCATTCAGACTCTGATACTAACAGAATAAAGTCTAAAGATGTTTTAGTTTGAAAATGTTAATAGCTTAAAATTGACTGAAAATAAATAAAAAAATTTGTCAAAAGTTTAAAATGATTAAGATAAACTGCAAAAATGATAAACATTTAGACAAACAACTGAAAAAAAAAAAGCCAGAATGTACCTATAATAATTTAAAAAAAAGGTTAAAACCACAAAATGCATATACAACAAACTTTGCAGCATTACTTCTACGGATTGAACTATCCCTTTAATGACAGTAAACATGAGTCACAGTTTTTAAGAGTTTTATTGGTTTGCATGTTTAACCTCTGTCTGAATCAACTACAGTCAATAACTGCACGTTGCCTTTTAGCTTACCATGCTAACTCCCACCGCCGACAAACGCATAAAACTCAACTTCATTTGTACAACCCGACGTTCATTTAAAATAATAACAGAATCATTACGACAGCGTCTACATAGCAAAACAGGTCACCCCCCCCCCCACACACACACACACACTGGTAGACGTACAGTGATAAATGAAATAAGCCGAACCTTGTGGCTCAATTCTGGTATCTGTTGGGCCCCATGTTGTACTAGTTAATGTACCAAATGTACTAATCAAACCTTTTTGAGTTTGGTGAAAAAGTTAGTGTCAGATAAAGGCCACTCAAAATATCACATAACACAATTTCCTTGTGGGTTAAGTTCAATCCTATTTGACGGGACGCCCTCACCTCAATAATATGTCTTTAATGGCCAACTTCTAACACTAACCATAAGTATGGGCAACATCTAAACCAAAACACAAAACTGGCTATGAATAATAACCCTCGTATGCTGGCCACATACATTATTGGATTAGCAAAATTTTACCGTAAGGGTAAAACCGTGAATTGTACATAAGTGATAAAGCACATCTCAACTGAAATTTTAGTTTTAGTTTAGCTATAATCTGGTCAGTTCAATTAAATATGTAGCCCACGTTCTCCATACCACATGTGGACCACTAATATTCTGTTATTCACACACTTTCTTTGCCTCAACACTTTGAACCATGTAACTAAACCTCTGTGGAAATAATGTTATTTAGGAAAAAGATATTTCAAGTACAAGTTCTCAACTTCGTAACTCACCATGCCTACTCGCAACACACAAGTGGTTTTATAAAAAACTATGCTATTTCATAAATATATCCATCTGGAGGTATCACACAGGCTACTGATAAATCTGTTCATATGAGGGCCAGATACATAAGGCCACATGACCAATAGTTATAATCTACAACATATAGATTCTTCTAGAGATATGCAACTTAACATGTGCTGTATAAAGCTAAGAGATTACCTTCTCTAAACACTCCTTTACTGGTTCCAGTTCTTCTTAATAATACATAAATAAAGATGAATTCATTCTATAAAACTAGATCCAATCTGGAAACACTAGCCTGGCTTTCGCCCTTTCTCGTCTCTGTTTTTGGTTCTAATTTAGTGACACGGGCTACACCTTTAATCAGAACCAAATGTGATGACGTGATTGGCTGAGAAAACAGTGAATGGCTGGTGGTGACGACTGACATTCACGTCACGTTGCTGTACTTTTCATTCATACACTCTGGAGCAATACCAGTCTTCTGCCACAAGAGGGCAGCAACGTGTTACCTCAGCAGGCCTCAACATTTAGCACACGCTTCACCATCAGGCACAATGTTAGCATAAAACATATAAATGTGGTCTAAGTAAATATATAAATATTCAAGAAACTAAAATACATTCAGTACATGATTTAAAACACCGATGCACACCGTGATAAAATGTCATTTCTCAAGCAACAAACCTCCGATATGTAGCAGCATAAAATTCTATAAGCTAATTTCACAAACCAGTGTTTAGACTAAGGTCCAAACAAAGCACCTCATATAAAACAAGAAAAGCCAAAGCAAATAGTCAACAGAATGAAGACATATACATATACATATATATACATATATATATATATATATATATATATATATATATTCCACATGGCTTAAATGGAAATAACCTGAATAACAGAGAAGGAAGTAGGTAGTAACTCAGCTGCAGGTGCGTCATTATTATTATGATACTGCTGTCAGAGCATGTGAGTGGAGCAGAAAGTTAAGCGTTAGCATCATTTTATGTTGGGACACACAAGCTGTAAATATAAAGTAAATGCTAAAAACCAGTACCTAAAGCTGGGATGAACGTTTATTCATTTGTGGCAGGAGGCAGAACGCACTCCTAAATTTAACCTAAAACGTCAAATAAGTCCAAACATCTCAGGCATTATTAGTAGTACAGTTAAAAAAAATCAATTGGTAAATTTTGAGGACTTTTGACTGAATTGGAGTGCTACCGTAGAACGGTGCCAACTCCGCACTATCATGCTCTGATCAAAATTAATATTTATGAAATATACCACACAATAACAACATCATTTGGGAACCAAATAGTGAGGTTGATAAACTGCGGCAAACATGCACTTGCATTCCTGGTGGTGTTGTGTTCTCACCAAACGCACATTATTTTCTTATGCTACTATATAACCTGCAAAGGCATGTGCACATATACAGTACGTGTAATGTATTCAATGGACTTGATACAAATCCTAACTCCTAAGCCCGACTCACTGGTCGAGTTGGAACATTTAGATAATTACCGAACACAACTAAAAAGCAGGTGACTGGTGACTTTGCTAACGTTTACATATTGTCCATACTCACATTTGGTGTGAAAGCATTGTCAGACATCGGACAACCAGCTATTAAAAAAAAAAAGAAGTACATTAGCCCGTTTTCCAGTGGTTTCACTTTGGGTATATTGTTGTATATTATGTAGAGATGGCTCAATACAAATGTTATCTTGTACCGATACTGCAACTTGGACCAATATCGATACTGGTATTAAATTGCTCTGCCAATCAATCTAATACCTTCTTTTTTCTTCCAGCATGCTGCGGGCTGCCGTTGCTGAGGCGATAGTGCCCACATTTACATCGCGCAAGCTAGAAAATTTGGGATAAGTTATCGAAACAGACGGGCTATGGTTGTTTTTTTCAATCCTGACATTTTGACCAATATCAGACCGATGTCGATGGTGAGTATCACATCAAGCCATCCCTGCTATTGTGTAACTGATAAAACTCATATCATATCAAAGTTGTAACCACAGTGCTTAAAAACCGTTTGAATTCCAGTATAAGAACTCCTAAATACCTGCAGTGTACTTGTGTACTAACCTCCACGTTCCACTGTTTTTCCCAGTGCATTTACCACTAACTTTCTAATAAATCTCCACAGCTAAGGTGCCTCCTTCCACTGGCTGCAGATACACAGTGCAATATTTGAACAGCGTAAACACTTGTTGCCTAAACACAGTGTGGCGCTGGTTCTCACAATGTAGACTTCAACTTTAACGCCCCCCACCCTATAGCTGAAAATGACAACAATGAAGTGGTAAAATCAATGACCATAATAAGAAGCACAGTTGTTACCATGGTATGAAGAGTATAGTCAAGCTAGGACAAGAACTATCATGCCGAGTCTATGTTTATCTGGAAGGCGTGATGACGCGTCCACATTTTCTTATATGGTCGGACACAGAGAAAGATCGTTTGATTGTCTAGAAAATAAATTAGAGATATATCCTTATATAGAGATAGAGGCACCAGACTGTAAGGACACAGAGTAAAACAAAATCTCTATAGAAATATAAACTCTAGAATTATCCGCTAACTATGGTGTTGGTCAACACGTGATTGAAGCACACCAATATAAAAGGGCAGTCCTGGAGTAAACCAGTTGTCTCTCCTCTGGTTTCGGCCTTAACCTTAATTTTTGCTGCAGGGCCGAAGAGGTATTGCTAACCCTTTCCATCAGCTTCTGAAAGCAACTACAGATACAGTCTATAAAAATGCACATTTAGAGATAGAAGGCACAAAAACACAAATCCCCACAATGGCGTGGGGTAAGATCGAGAGCAGCAGGACCGGGCAAAGCTGCAGATCTGGGCTGTGTACATCTCGGGATCTGTCAGAAAAAAGGGGCAAAGTTTGGAAGAGTGAGCGGTTCTTCTCTTTTGTTCCCTTACACCGATCGGTCCAACTCCTGCTACAGCACAGTACTGCTCGCAAGAGTCAAAGTCCCTGTCAACTGTCAATAAAGACGGTAACCGTCCAGTCATGTTCTTGAATGGACCTCTGTGGAGCCGGGACGCATCTTCATTTACCTCATTGCACATTTAACTAGTACAAAGCACAAAACGCTGGTGTACTTGAAGTCCTTCAGACTGAACCTTTGTTGGCTGTTTGGTCTTAATATAAATTATTATTATTAACATGAACAGGGCTGTCACTTATAAGAGGCAGAAAAACAATTTTGGGCAGGGAACATTTTGGTTTCTGCTGCTAATGTGTAGTTTTGACACAGGACTGTTTGGCTTATTTTAATGACGAGCCGACGGGAACCGAAGAAGCCTCTTGGATGGGAGGTGTAACGTCGTCTTGAGAAAATTTCATGTCCAGTTGCCTAACGGAACTCTTCAATCCCGATAGGAAATGACGTTATGCTCCCTTTAGAGTGGTGTCTGCTGAACGATGCAGTACAGCAGATGGTCTGATGTGTACTTTTCAAGCTTCTGCAATCAGGTTAAACAAATAGACTAAGATTTACATGAACAGTGACAGCCCCAGGACTTTCCCTTAGCTTCATACCGGTTTACTTATTTAGGTCGGCTCTATTCGTCGGTGCGTTCGGGCTGGGCGATTAATCGAAATTTGGCAGTCGTGGTTGCCACCGCAGGCTTTCCGGTCAGTCTAAGCAAAACCTTACTCTTGCTGGTGCTGTGGGAATGGGTGGGTGTTGCAGATTTCACAGAAGCTGGTGTTTTCACTGGGTGCACATGCGGCTCATCATTGATGTCGACCGTGATGTTGGTGTAGAGAGGCTCCAGCTGTTTGGAAAGGAGCTCATAGGTCAAAGAGTTGAAGCCATCAGAGCGCCAGCTCAACCTGGTCCTTTTCAGAAGATCAAACCTGAAAATATATTAATTGTTAACAAAAAGGTCTGTTTTAATTACATTCAAATCACTAATACTACCCTATAAAGTACTTAATGGTCTGCTCCTACCACCTTAAGAGATCTGACAAAGGCTTATGTTACCCCGTGACCACTCTGCTTGTCTAGAGAATGATAGCCTGACAATACAGGCTGTTCTCATCGCTTCATCCACAGGTGTAACCAAAAAGTGCCACGTGAAAGGTCCAGTAAACCAGTTCCACAGTTCAAGAACAATAACCAATAACACAGAACAGTGACCCCTGTTTTACTAGTTATCATGTTGCAGGATTTTGGCTTTTATGAAGTAATAACACCTTACTAACAACCAACACATGCTCCTACATTTCTCCTTTTCTCACGAACATGAAACAACATACAGCTCCTGTTGCTTCTAAACAGCGAACGATAAAACAGCCACGGCAGAACTTCCATATAGTCATACTGTGTGGCATTTTACAGAAGGGCATGAAATGTCAACTGCTGAAGATCAGTGGCTTATTTGCCAACAGCTTAGATGATACACGTATTGCACTTAAATGCACTAGCATTGGATGTAACATATTCTTTTTCCTTTTGTAAACTATTTTTCTTTAATAAGGAATTCCATAATAGACAACTATGATGTGAACTGACTTAATTAACTTACTTTGAACCTTTTAGTCTGTTTTTTTTTCTAATGAATTGTGTCCTAAGTGAGATATTTGAAGTACTTTATTGATTATAACCTTTTAGTCTGTTTTTTTTTCTAATGAATTGTGTCCTAAGTGAGATATTTGAAGTACTTTAGTGTGAAAATAAACACGTACATTTTCAGTGGTATAGGAGTGGGAGATAGTGGTAAACAAGCCCAGAGTGCCCTCTAGCGGCAGACAGCGTGCAAATAACATGTGGAATTATATATTTTAATATAGAAGTTGCATCTGAGTCGCAAACCCAGCCAGAGGATGGAAAAAAAGTGCAACTTATAGTCTGGAAAGTACAGTAGTTTGTCTTGACATTCAGAAACAAAATATACAGATGTGTCGTAATTGTGTTTGTCTTCTAATAGAAAGGGGTTTGGCTAGGCTTAGGCTGTTCCTTCTGCATTAACAGAAGTTAATGCTACAAAGAAATTTGGTTGGTTTGAAAAACATGTTTACATTGATTTATGTATTGATATTCCTACTCATACTGTTTGCCCAGCTACTGTAATATAAACGGTTTCTTTCATACCTGCGTGGATTTTTCTCATTGCCTCTATCTCCTTTATGCTTGATCATCTTGTAATGACCTATATTCACTGGAGGACGCACAATCTTCATCCCCGAGAGAAGAACTCTGAACGGACAGACAGCACACAGTGGGAAAAATTAGACTCTCAGTCAACACAACACAGACTAGAAACTCTGGACGGATATTAAATTCAGGACTGGTCAATGACAGTTTTGCTACAGACTCCCAAAGTGTGAACTACTGCTCATAAGTTGTTGGTAAAACCACTGGATGTGAGAACTACTAACACAATTAAGATTAGAAAATGTTACAAACGTGTGAGTCCAATTACATTGGTCGACAGTGCCATTAGCTGCTGTGATATTATAAGTGAATTATGCTGTGAGTCTGATTGGGTTTAAGTGTTCATTTTTCAACTCTTAATAATAAAATATTGGGTAGCAGAAAAACACAAAATATAAAGTCCAAGTACTGTTTCACAAATACTTAATGTTGTGCAGCACTCACTGTGAGAACTATTCATTGGTATTATAGAGACATTTTCAAAGTCTTTCTATAGGGAGCAGAAATGACCGTGGTTCTGCGTGTAATCCGTTACCTTCACTGTTACATGTACCTATACACCCAGATTAGATTATGTGTTTTTCAGGGAGAGGTAAGATAAGGCAAGGTAATATATTACATGTCAGATCATAAACTGCTGCTTTGTCATGGACTTATCATGAACTTTTTATCACACGTGGTAGGTACTACAGGTGTCACAGGAGAACAGTACAACACCCAGAAAGTCAACGGAGGGAATCGAAAAAAAACACCCTATTTAGAAGCCTTGTGTCAGGTCATCGTACTTACTGATTTGTCTTCCAGAGAAACACAGCAAAAGCCACAGCATTAGAGAGAGGATGTGAAAATGAAAAATGACGTTAGAGATATGTGAAATGTAAAGTCAAGGGAAATGAGAAGTGGTGGAAATTAAAACAAACAAAACTGAATGGAATAAAGGAGTAAGAGACAGCCATGCATGAAGCGGCAGGGTGTAGGTCTTCATTACCTCCACACTCCTCACCTGTAAGCGATATCGTCGTCCTCCCCGCCCCACCCCCAGTACTGGTTGGGAAAGCCATTCATCTTCATGTACTGGTCAGGAGTCACTGCAGATACTCCACCAAAGTACTGTGGATACGGCAACCTGCGAGAGCCACATGGTTGAATGTTTCATACACATTCAGGAACCACTAGCACCAAAAAGCTACAGCACGGTTAATGACAGTGATGTTGTCTATTTTTTATAATTCTAATGCAATATGTTTGTATTTTGGTCAATTTAGCCTACATGATGTTTTGTTTGGTAAGTATTTATATTATATAAGGCTGGGGTGCCAAACTCACTCATGCAAGGGGCCGAAGTTTAAAGTGCAGTCTAAGTTATGGGTCAAACAGGGTTAACATGTATTGAACAATCTTCAGCATCAGGATGCAGGTTCGATAAACATTTATTAAAAAAAAAAGGGGTCAACAAGGTGTTTGGACAACAACTGAATGGCGCTGAATGCCACAAAGACCAAGGAGATCATCCAGGACTTCAGGAAGAACAGAGCAGACCCCCCCCCATCAACAGAGTCTACGTAGAGAACGTCCACTCCTTCACCTTCCTGGTCCAAAAACACCTCAGCAGTAGTGAAGAAGGCCCAGGTGAACTTCTACCGCTCCTCCATCGAGAGCATACTCACCTATTGCATCTCGGTGCGGTTCACTCTCTGCACTGAGGTAGAACGGAGGAGGCTACAGGGTGTGGTGAAGACGGCCCAGGGGATTATCAGCTGCCCCTCCCCTCCCTGAAGGCCATCTTCACATCCTGATGCTTCAACCGGGGGCGGAGCAGATTACTCTGGATGTATGCCACCCCGCACACCATCTCTTTGAACTGTTGCTCAAACCAACACACACCCCACCCCCCCCTGCACCACGACACACAACCCCGTGCAATAACCTCACTACAATTCACTAATCCTGTAAATTTCTTGCTTGTTGTAGTGCTGATCGCTGCTTGTTGTTTTATTTCGTTGTCTGTTTGAGATTCACAGAAACACTCGTATGTATCTGTGATACACCTGCGCAGAAGCCTTCCCTTAATTCCGTTGTGTTTTAACCTGACATAATGCCAATAAAGACTATTCTATTCTAAGATTCATTTCGCTAAGGTGTAATGTAAAAGTAATCATAAGGGAACATACGTTTACCTGTATCTGAACTTGTCCATGGCCACCGACATGTGCGTGGGGAACTCTTTGTGGCAGGTGTACGTGTTGTGGTCATTCTCAGGCAGTAAATCCACATCATGCAGGAAGATGCAGCTCCAGTCGTCGTCTCGCAGAGCCTCCCGCACACCCACATTGAGGAGTTTTGCGCGGTTGAATGTGTTGTTTCCCCACTAGAACCAGAATGAGAAGCAGAAGTTGACACTTCACATAAAGAATCATGATATAAATAAAACCACAGAACAATTCTGCATTTATCACATGGTTAAAGGGTGTAAAGCTAAGTGTATAAGACAGCATCAGCATGAATGTCCTTTTTTTCAGTACAAAAGCATAACATACTGTATACATACTGTATACTATCTAGAGTCAAAATACGGCCAGTGTGATGTTATGTTTTCTATCCACTTTTTCCATCGGTAAACAAACAAATCTTTTTGTAGTTCACATCTGCAGTTAAACTCTCCATCCTATATATTTCTATTGTGGTGTCACTTTCTAGTGAGAGTCTTTTTAACTGTAGCTAACAAAATATTAAACAAACATTTGTCTCTCTCTGGCCTTTGTCCTTCAGGGATTGAATACAACTTTAAACCAGAGACGGGTGACTCTCAAAGATTTCTTGAACTGCCTTAGTTTTAATAACCTAAAAATCATAAAAAAAAATCATGATGAAGGTTTCCGTTTGTATTTCCACAGTTTTTCCGGCGAGCTGGGGAATTACTCTTGTTGTGGGATTTTTGGTGAGGTGTAATAAAATGTCTTATCAGGCTTTTCCAACTAAAGTCTCTCTTGTTGTATTGTAATATTTCTGTTAGATATTTCAGTATCAGGACTCCCAGATATTTAAAATAATCTCTTTACCCCACACAGAATTGTTTTTGCTTTTAATGTCATCTACTGGACTGTAACGATAACCACAGCAGTAAACACTAACCTAGTGCCTCTTTGGAGAGTTGCTAATCTTTTTAAAAATTATTTTCGCCATCTCTCTGGCGTCACAGGTTTTCTATGGTGACACTCCATAATAACAGTAATCAAAATATAAACTGGGATAAAAACAAACATAAATATAACAGAATGATTATTCCACATTGATATTTATTTTCTAGGGCTGTTATTTATATAGATATTATTTTGTAATAAGCAAACTTGTAATTTTAGCAAACTTAAACAAACCGATCAAGCTGGTCTGCTTTACATTCAAACATACAGTATCACCATGTGGAACTAGCAGTGTTTTTTAAATTCATTTATTTAGAAAGTTACTGGCACTTGG